TCTTCCCCTTGTCTGCATACGAAGGCCACCTTTGAATGGCCTTACAGCAAACTGCATACGTCGAGAATTCGGGCCCACCTAGTTAGTACGACGCTCTCTGTTTCACGCGTCTCACCTTAGTACAGACGAAACTCTGCCACATTGGTTGTTGGGGTCCTTTGGTGCTTGTGCTTTTGGGGTCGGTTTTGGGGTTGGGTTGGTGTGTTTCTTGTTTGTTGCTTCGGGCTGCTTCCCCTACCAATAAGCAGAGTTTCCATCCTTCTTATGATGACCTGGGCACACCGCCCACATGGCGTCCGTACTCGGGGAAAAAGCGTGTGGCACCGCTTTCAGTTCCGTATGCATATCCATAAGTGTGTGTTGTGCATGTCTGTTTGTGCTTGTGTGTTTGTGATGTGCGTTTGTTGCGTGTTTGTGCTGTTTTGTGGCTGTGTGTTTGTGTGTGTGTTGTGATCGTGTGTTTGCAGCGGTGTGTTTGTGATGTGTGTTTGTGATTGGTTGTGTGTTTGTGATTGTGTGCTTGCGGTTGTGTTTGGTTTGTGCTCTGATTTGTGTGGTCGTGGTGGCTTTTGGGGGACGAGAGCCCTCTGCCTACTGGCTAAGGGTCGGCTACGGCCGACTGGGCCATGGCCGACTTCGGCCGGCTACCATCGGCTAAATGGCGTGCTGGGCTGGTCCGCTGTACTCGGCTGTGTTCGGCTGTGTTCGGCTGTGATCGACTGCAGTCCACTGTGGTCTTTTGTAGTCAGCTGTAGTCGGCTGCAAGGCTGTAGTTGGCTGTGCTGGGCTGTATGAAGTTCTTGCGCCCTATCAGCTGGCATAATGGTAAAAACCAAAAATATCGCGTTGTTGTTGTTGTTGGATTTTTAAGAAACGTACCCCTGAGCAACCCCCAAAGGATAGACAGTAAATTTGCGAGTTTTGGTGACAATGACGACAATTCCGCAACGTATGTATGTGTTGTGTTTATCTTTCATTTGATCAACAATTTGCCTTTGGCAAAAGGTTTGTTTCATCAAACCAAACTTTTTGCATGTGATTTGAATGCAAAACTTGATTTCGACAGGGTTGAACATGTCGCTCAGTGCCTATCCAGTGTTCTCTGGTGATTTCAAGCTTAGAATGCTGTTGGTGGGCGTAGCAAAAAATATAAATAGCAACAGACCCAAAAGTGAGTCCAGACAGAAAAACAAAAAACAATGTTAATAGCAATCTGTTCCACAAAAAACCATTGCATTTATCTTTTGCGCGCATTTTCAATATTTTTCTGCAGGATTTCGAGTAGAAGGGCATTTTGAGGATTCGGAGCACCCTGGAACTTCGCCATGGCATTCAGCAATTTGGGAAGCATGAACCTCCCTCGCAAACCAGAAGCAGTGGGGACCGATTTGCTGGAGATTGATTCAGACCTCGAATTGGGCATCGACCAATTGGACACTGGGTTGCTGCCGTGTGGTTTCCCTGAAACTTGAATCCGCTTTAAGTTTTCCTTTTGCAATCAAGCGTTCACCTGGTGGTCGAATGAAAAAAACATGCAATTGATTATTGATTAAGAATCTCAAAAGCAAAGTTTTTACAAACTTCGATATTGTTGGGCTTGTTGCGTGGACAGTTGTTGTTCATCAACTGGGTTGACATCATGGAATGCAACAGCTCACTGTAAGGTTGAGTTATGTTTTGTTAATGAACGGGTGAAAACCTCAGACGTCTGGTTCATTTGCGTCAGGAGAGAGAGCCAGCAGAGTTGCTGGAGTCTTTGTGGGATGACTTGTCGTCCGGAGTTGCCGATCGCCATGCGGTCCACACGACCCCTGTTTGGGCAGAGTCGTCGTCCCCACCATCGATCAAGATGGACCAGCATGAGATGTGGACCCTGCTCAAAGACATCAAGAATAATCCGGAGAGGCTGGACATCAAACTGATTGAGACCTTACATTACATTTCTTTCTGAAACCAATATCGGGAGTGTTTTTCGGGGTATGATACAGATACAAGAGAAACAGTTTGGTTGTTAAGCCCACGAAGTTAATGTGTGTAAATTCAGTGCAATGTTGGGTAGCCTTGTAAGCTTCCCGAGGGTTCATGAGTATCCAAAAAGGAACCAGGTGAACCCACCACTTGCTCCTGGATCCTTGTATCCTAACATTTTTGCCCTATCCCGTCCACTTGCAATCACCTGACCCTTTAGGTTCACGGATGAGATTATGCAGAATCGCATTGTGGGCCTTTGATTTGTCTACAAATTAGGGCGCGCTCCGCCCTTGTGCGGATGAGGCCTCCTTAATTTGTCTTGGACAGAAACCACTCAGTAGTCTCCTTGCACGCCAGTGCCCGTTTGAAAGCGAGTGTCGAAGCAGAATCATGCGTTTGGCTGATGACTTCAAATTTGAAGGCAAAAGCTTCGTGACAGGGCACGTCCGTGGCTGTTTAAGTGCCCGGTCATGTCTTGTGTTCGGTCGCCCCTGCTGCTGTATTCCTCTAACCGACATTTGTGAGGGAAGCCTTGAACGAGGTTGCTCTTTGGCTGGAAACGACCGCAATGACTTGCAATCCTTTTGCGGCAACATTGCTTGGCCAGCAATTGTTTGGGCAAAGTCTTAATGCATCTCAACGGTCTCAGAGGGTTTGAGTAAGGTTCCCTGGGATTGTCAGCATACAGTTTTGCGCATTTGTTGGCCAACCTGCTACGAGCTGCCTAGAGCCGGCCAGTAGTCCTTTGTCATTACCATTCCTCCAATCTATGTCAAATGTCCAGGGCAAGGCCACATCTCAAGGTGACAGCCTTCGCCTTCAGTCTTTTCTCATTGCCTTTAGGGCAAAGGGTGCATGCATGCTTTGC